AACCATCCTAAATCCATAAATAGGTCTATCCCATCCTTGTTGTCGTCGTGTATCTATAATTGCCTATCCCTAGATAATAAGGCGTAGGTATATTCAGTTGCCTATTTCTTAATTAGTAGGCACCATTGCAAAAGGCTCAACTAGTGATAATCTTGTCTCGGTTGTCATCGAGTGGTCCTTCGGGTAGCCCCTATTGTTGGGCGCGAACATTTGTTGGTCCTTCGGGCCGGATCGTTTAATACAAACCACGACTATGTATACGAACCATTTTTTTTTTTGTTGTCCATGATCATTATTTTTCGTTGATATTATTCTTATTGTAAGACCCAAACTAGTTCCTACATCTATAAAAATCTGTACTGTCGTCGAATTATTGTGGACCTAGAAGTTAGTGAAGAATCTCATCTGTATATAGCCCACGTACCTGCTCTCCACGAAAAATCTCGTTACTACCTGCAGTTGCATCAAATAAATTCGAACAGCAATGGCGGACGCTATTTACAACGACTCAAAGTCGCGCATTATTCGCTGCATTACCAAATTGAAATCCTTTGCCCAAGCTTCTATTGACTTCAATAATGACCGTACAAACTCTGGTAAACGAGCCAAAATTGCCAAAATGATTAGTGAGCTTGTTACTCTTCGTAATGCAGTTGAGGATGATGTCCAACGAATGGAATCAGCCGTTAATTCAAAAACAGCCCCTGACGAGATCACTGACACTAGTTAAAGTCAAAGTCTTATTACGTCATTCGATAGTCTTTATTATGAACTGGCTGCGTTCGCTGATGTTCACAAGTTGACAATGTCATCCTCGATGGACGCAGCTGCTCCATCATTTTCAAATCAAACCAGTCATCAATTATCCGCTTTTCAGTTACCTAAGCGTACCTTCCCTGTTTTTTCCGGTGAGATGACCGAGTGGCAGGGCTTTGACGATTTGTTTACCTCCATACTATCGCACGCTCCTGAACTGCCGGACGTCGAGCGGTTTGAATTTCTGAAGATGTCTCTTAAGGGTGAAGCGCTATCACTTATCTCCCATCTCGCGTTAACGGCTACAAATTACACTAGTGCGTGGAAAATATTGCGTTCCCGTTATGGCAATAAGCGTGATCTTGCTCGTATTCACCTTGATGCTCTGCTCGCTAACCAGATTGTTAAGTCCAATGATGGCTCCTCTATTAAAACTCAGATCAATACGATCTTAGAGAACACTGCTGCTTTGGACAATCTTGACTTTGTAACGCGCCAATGGAGTCCACTTCTGGTGCACATCTTTGAAAAACACCTTGATTATGAACTTCGTGCTCGGTGGGAATTGGTCGTTGGAGAAAATCATTATCCCCAAATTTCTGATTTTGTTGACTTTTTGCGTACTCATCTGCGGTCTGCGGAAATTTATTCCAGTTGTTCATCATCTAACCGACATAATAGTGCCTCGAAACCGCACACGTCAGTTAAGCAATCAAGTTTCAATCATCGCTCTTCTTCAAGCGTTCTAGCCACCACTTCTAGTAATCCATCCGTCAAGTCGTGTCCACTGTGTAATGCACCTCATTCAATAAGGTCATGTACCCTATTTACGGACAAACCTCCAAATGAACGATTTCTCATTGCAAAAACGCATAGGTTGTGTATAAATTGTCTGGGGACAGGTCACTCTTCCGGGAGATGCCCTTCAAACTATACATGTCAGTCATGTAAGAAAAGTCATCACTCGCTGTTGCACTTTAATTCTACTGCTAATAAACCAAATACCTTCGGCCCAGCACCGTCAAATACACTATCCATTAAGACGGCAGAGCCTGTGCCTGGGGCTGAGTCACATGTTACGACTACCTCATGTCTTGTTCGAGGACAACCTCAGCGCATCGTTCTATTGTCAACAGCAATAGTGGACGTCTATGCTGCCGATGGACGGCGACACGCTTTAAGAGCTTTATTAGACTCTGGTTCACAAGCTAGCTTTATCACAGAACGAGCTGCGTGTGCTCTTATGCTTCGTCTATTCCGATCTTCTGTCAGCGTTACTACATTTGCTAGTTCAGACTCTACTGTTGTTTGGGGCAAATGCAATATTAAGATGTCTCCCGCCGGTCAACAAGCCCCCTCTTTTTCTCTTGACGTATCAATAGTTCCGCACATAACTGGATCAACTCCTCGAGTTCCGGTAGCGTTTGGGCACTGGGATCACATTAATAGTCTCTCGCTGGTCGACCCATCATATAATACACCTGGCCCAATTGACTTACTACTTGGAGCTGATCTTTTACCTTCAGTGTTCCTTGATGGCACTCGAAAGGGCCAAGTTGGTGAACCTCTCGCAATGAACTCTGTTTTTGGATGGGTGCTTATGGGCCCAACGGACCTTAATGACCGCTCTTCTGTTGCCACACTTAGCGTGAATATTTCCGAACCTATTGACTCGTTAATTAAAAAATTCTGGTAACTTGAAGAGCTATCCACCACTTGCCATTTGAGTCCAGCTGACGTTGCTGCTGAGAAAATATATACCTCCACTACAACTCGGTTAAGTTCAGGCAGATTTGTTGTCACACTTCCGTTTCTGAAACCACGTCCACTGCTTGGTGACTCAAAAACACTAGCTTTGCAACGGTTCAAGGCCCTAGAATGTCGTCTCAACCGCAACAAAGACCTGCAAGATCAATACGCTGAGTTCATGCGTGACTATCTGACGGCTGGTCATATGGAGTTGATTCCATCGTCTGAACAAAGCCACCCGTTTCATTATTATATTCCACACCATTGCGTGCTTAAGCCCGATAGCCTGACTACAAAGCTTAGGGTTGTATTCAACGCATCTGCAAAAACGTCAGCCGGTATTTCTTTAAACGACAGTATGTACACAGGTCCCAAACTGCAACCTGACATACAAGTTGTCCTCCTTCGTGCTCGACTTTGGAAATACTTATTTATGGCTGATATAAGGCAAATGTATCGCCAGATTCTCATCCAACCAGCCGACAGAGATTATTTGCGGATTCTGTGGAGATTCTCGTCCACATCTCCGATTGACGAGTACCGGTTATGTACTGTGACGTACGGCACC